ATAAAGTTACATTTTCAAACAGTTTCTCCTCCTCAACAAGTGCCATCTTGGGGCTCACAATACATGTCACAGGTGTACAGCACCAAATCATTGGGGGGAGGGAGAGGACATAAAATTGACAGAATTCTTAAGTTACATGCACAATAAAAATTGCCTGAATTGTATAGCAGAGCTTTTAAGTTGCATACAGGTACTCCTCGACTTATGACATACTCGACTTACGACATCCCGGACATACAACCGCCGTGGTCGTATAAAATATATTTCAAATTTCATATTTTATAATACCGAAACGTTTCGGACCCGTACAACAGCGTGGGCTGGGCCGCCTCGTGGTGTACAGTATCCACACCGTAGCCCGCTCAGTTGGTGTTTGGCCTTCGTCGTTGTCATTAGTGATCGCGCTATGTGCTGACAAAATTTTTGTTTCTAATTCCCTTTAAAATGACTGGCAAGCATAAAAGTGAGAGTTCTCGTGGTGCTGAGAAGAAAAAGAGACAGTCAATTACTTTTGAGATGAAAATGAAAATAATAATGCAATATGAAAATGGAAAAACGGTATCAACCATTTCACTAGACCTTGGCTTCTCTCACTCGACGATATCAACAATTTTGAAGGACAAGGAACGAATTCGTGAGGTAGTGAAAGGATCAGCACCTATAAAGGGAACAATAATAACGAAAAAAGACAAGGTCCTCTTCATGAGATGGAAAAATTACTTGTGATGTGGATGGAAGATCAGCTGCAAAAGCGTGTACCTTTAAGCCTTCTAACCATACAGGCTAAGGCAAGAAGCCTTTTCAAAAGCCTGATAGAGCAGGCAGGAGATGAGTGCGACCACAACTTCACAGCAAGTCATGGGTGGTTCCAAAGGTTTAAGAACCGTTACAGTTTGCAGAGTGTAAAGGCGAGTGGAGAAGCAGCAAGTGCTGAAGTGGGTGCTGCCGAAGCTTTTAAGGAGGAGCTAGATCATGTCATCGAGGAGGAAAATTATTTGCCTTAGCAAACATTTAATGTGGATGAAACTGGCTTATTCTGGAAGCGCATGCCAGAACGGGCATACATCAACAAAGAGGTGAAAACCATGCCGGGATTCAAGGCATTCAAGGACCGAATCACACTTCTGTTGGGGGGAATGTAGCTGGTTTCAAGGTACAGGACTAAAACCATTCATGAAATATCATTCAGAGAACCCAAGGGCTTTTAAAAATGTCAGCAAGCACACACTGCCAGTGTTTTATCGCAGTAATAAGAAAGCATGGATGACCCTAGCACTGTTTGAGGATTGGTTCCTGAGTTGTTTCATTCCACGAGCCAAGGAGTATTGTCTGCAACATGCGTTCAAGATTTTGTTAATTTTAGATAATGCTCCAGGACACCCACCACACCTGGACGACCTGCATCCTGATGTTAAGGTAGTCTACATTCCATCTAACACTACCTCTATCATCCAACCCATGGATCAAGGTGCTATTGCTGCTTTTAAAGCGTATTGTTTACATACGACCTTCGCTCGGGCTGTTGCTGCTACTGAAGGTGAGAAAACGCTCAAGGAGTTTTGGAAGGACTACAACATTTTGCAATAAACAAAGAACATAGCTGCAGCATGGGATGAGGTTACAAGTCAGTGCATGAATGGAATATGGAAGAAGGTCCTGAAAAGATATGTGAATAGTTTCAAAGGATTTAATGAAGATGAAGCAATTTCTGAGATTAGTAACAAGATAGTGCAGTTGGGTAAACAGCTGGAGTTAGAAATTGATAATGAAGATTTTGAGCAATTGGTGGAAAGTGTAGCAGAAGAGCTAGGTAACGAGGATCTTATTGAACTGGATGCACAGAAAATTGCAGAGGAAGAAGAGAGACAAAATGTAGAAGAAAAACCTGCACCCCCAAAAAAATTTTCAGTGAAACAAATGGCAGAGGCATTTGCTACTATTAATAAGGGGATGCAAATGTTCGAAAAAATGGATCAAAATGTTGAGCATTTTGCAAAAGTTGACAGACTGGTCCAAGATGCACTTGCTTGCTACAGGGAGATTTACAATGAAAACAAAAGGCAAACTGTGCAGTCTAAATTGGACATATATTTTAAGAAGTCCCCCATTACTGTCTCCTCACGCCCCACCACTGCTGCCTCTTCACTCCCGAAAGATGATCCAATACCTTCAACAAGCAAGCACGTTAGCCTGTCGGAAGTAAGCGAAATTGATGAGCCACCCAGCCCTGTCTCCTCCTCTGCTTCATCCAATTAATGTAGTCTCTATGTTTAATCAAAAAATTATTGAGGCCCCATGTGCATTCAGCTGACTACATTAAAGGTAAGTTCAGCGTAACACTATTAATTTTTCATTATTGATTACTTTTACTGTACTGTACTTCATTTTAGAATTTCTATGTATTATTTTTCGCTTTTTTGACTTACGACCTGGTAGTAGGGACGGAACCCTGTCGTAAGTCGAGGAGAGACTGTATACGACATTATCATATAAAACTTGTAGTAAAGAGTATCATAACCTCCCACAGTATGACACACTATTATAAGCAATACCAAAGGACAAAATAACAACTTTAATTAACCCTTTGACCGCGCAAAGCGACTTTAGTCGCCTGACAGAACGAAACATTTCACCACGCAAAGCGACTTTACTCCACGACCACAGGGGAAATTTCTGAATTTCCCGCGCGCGGCTAAGATCGTCCTGGGGTTAAAAATGCACCCTGTTTGTGCTGCCATCTAGTATCCGCTAGGCAAAACATATCCCAAGGACGCATTAGCTGACGCAACCACATGACTCACAGATTTCCAGATCCAGCGTAGCGTCATATATTTGTTCATTATTCACATAAATAATGTATTTTTTATTCTTTTATTATGGTGATAGGCAGTGTAAGTGTTTCAAGCATGTGAATATATATAACAGACCGATATAGATAAGCAAATAGTGGTGGTTATATGTAAAAATATGATCGCTATTTTTTCGTCAGTTTGTCGGTATAAAGATTTGCCAGAAAATTGTTTCAGCGGCATATATCTGTTCATAATCCACATAAAGAAGGTAATTTTTAATCTGTTATTATGGTGATAGGCAGTGTAAGTGTTTCAAGCATGAGAATATATATAAAAGACTGATATAGATAAGCAAATAGTGGTGGTTATATCTCATAATATGATCACTGTTTTTCTGTCTGTTTGCCTGTACAGTCGACCCTCGTTAATTCGGACCCCATTAATCCGGATTTCGGATATATCGGACAAAATCTGAACTGTCCATATCAAATTTCTGGTTCTGGGATTGTCCCAGTTGCAATTTCAAATTCTGTGTCACTACTAAGAAATAAAAAAGTCCCTGGTGCACTCTAAGATTTAGAGAAAACGGACGACTCAGGCGTCCTGAAGTGAGAGAAAACGGACTCCTATGACGGGGCACTCAAATAAAGAGACATGGCTACATGTTTTGTGGACTAGCCACTGTACAGTATCCTTTTCATCACTTTGTAATAAACCTCGTTATGCCTATGTGTTTCTGATAATTATCATAACATTATATATTTATATATTTAGCGGTTGTACAAACACAAGGCCTCACACATGCCATTCAGACTGACAGACTTGACAAGTTTTACCAACCATAAAGACAGTTGAAGCTTTAAACATCACTCACAATGGATCTTGAATATTCCAACTGTAATCAGACATACCTAAGTTGCCTCAACAATTGCAACCTCAGTTGCAATATCAAATTCTGTGTCACTACTAAGATATAACAGTCTCTGGTGCACTCTAAGATTAAGAGAAAACGGACGACTCAGGGGTGCTGAAGTGAGAGAAAACGGACTTCTATGACGGGGCACTCAAATAAACATACACATAGCTGTATAATGCAATATTAACCCCTAAATCGGTTAATTCGGACAATCGGCTAAAACGGACACCCTTCCCCCCTATTAGTCCGTTTTAACAAGGGTCGACTATATAAAGATTTGCTATAATATTGTTTCTGCATAACCCAGGCATTTTTGGCATAGTCCGGTGTCAAAATATGAATAAAGACCGTGTTATATATATTTGAGAATAGTTATTTTATAATGAAATAGCCAGTATATAGACAAAAATTGCAATGTTTGTGATAAGAAAAATTTTCGCTGTTTGTCAGTCACTTTCCATTATCATTTACCGCTATTTCAGCATAACCCAGGCATTTTTGGTATAGTCCAGTGTTAAAATATGAATAAAGACTGTGTTATATATATTTGAGTAGTTATTTTGTAACGAAATAGCCTGTATATAGACAAAAATTGCGAAATAAGACAACTTTTCACTGTTTTTATCGCTTCCCATTTTCTGTGATATGCGAAATAAATTAATATTTTGCAGTAACTTATATATTTGTTATAACATACAGAATCCAACCAAAAAACTCGCCCAAAAGGAATATAGAAGGGAGGTTATTGTAGGCATGTTGGATGGGTACTCTCTCAAGGAATCAAAACGTCAGAGGAGGAGTGTAGTACCTTTAGCCACTAGATTGACAGAAAGGCATTGCATTTCTCAATTTCAGGACAAACAATACAAGCCCAATTGTGTTGTCTGTTCTATTTTACCATCTCAGTGTGTAAAGAAAGGTTGAGGCGCATGCAAGAGAAAACAAACAACATTCTACTGTCAAAAATGTCCTGACCACCCTCCCCTATGTGTCGTGCACTGTTTCGAGAGATATCATACTAAAACCAATTATAAAATGTCCTGTCAGTACTCATAATGTTCATGTAATGTAGCTATATATATAAATATGTTCAAGGATTAAATAAAATATTTTTGCATTATCTGTTTAGTTATTTCACCAACATTGTTTCCAGGTGAGGTACCAATATTGCACATAAAAACTGGGTTATAATTTCCATGAAACATCACTTTACATTAATTATTACCATAGTTTTGGGTCATGATCTATCATTCTGGAGGCAATTTTGGCAACATCTGAGTTCCTCAAACCACTTTACCTTTTTCCGTAAAAACATGATTTTCCACTAGATAACAACATTTCTAAGGAATATAAATGCCATATATGGAAAGACCAAGTTTCTTTCATTATAGAAAAGCAATAAAAAAGCTCAAAACAGCACTTTCATTTTTTGGTGACTTAATGACACTTTCCGGGAACAACCTTGAAATCGGACGGCGCGGTCAAAGGGTTAATGGAACAGCATATTTTATTGATGTGTTGAGGGTAGAAAACCTAACAAAACAAAACAAGACAGCAAACATAAAGCTAATTCTTATGGACATGGAAATTATCAGGAGTAAACAACATCCACTTGCTGCCAATTCTGGCTATGAACTTGGAAAATATATTTGATATTTAGGAACGCATCTTTTGCAATAACCAGGGTATTCCTGTAGTATTGATAATATATCAACAGATTTTGCAATAAAATTATAAAATCAAAGATTTCCAAAACCTGAATTTCAACCTCAACTGCATCAGGTTTGGTTGTAAGCTAAGAGACTACAATTGTCTTGACAATAAATATTTAAACAGTAGATCCATTAACTGAGATGAAGAGAACAATAATAATGACCAACATGAAAGCTCTTACCTGGATGCCTAATTCTCGTGTCGGGACCAAAACCAACACTCTAATTACAATATCATCTTTTGGCTTGTAGAGTAGTCTTTCTAGTATAGGAAGCATGTATGCAGCTGTTTTGCCGGTGCCAGTTGCTGCACAGCCACAAATGTCACGACCTTGAAGTGCTACAGGGATAGTTGCCGCTTGAATGGGTGTGGGTGTATCATACCCTAAACTGTCAATAGCCTGTAATATAAAAATATTTTTGAGTCATTAAAAATATCTTAAACAATATAAAGGTTCTTAATACTCTCACAGTCCTAGTCGCCACTACCCGAAATCCCCAGTAACGGTCAGTCTGAATCAGGGATATTGGCTGGCCGGCAATTTTCTTTTCACTGAAGCTATTTTCCGACTGCACATTGACACTTACGGTATTTGAACAATGTCTATGAGTAATATCTCCGTTAGCCAGAATCCCTCAAACACGGAACTCTCCGATAGTTGGAAATGAAATTTTTTAAGAAAATCGTTCCCAAAGCCGGAATTTTCCTGGAAATTAAGATTTTGGGAACGATTTTCCAAAGGGCACATTTTCCGGAAAATTCAGAGAAAATTGTCCTCATACCCAGAAAATTCCAAGGATGGGGGAGTTTTTTCCGGGTTTGAGAGATAAAAATCACGTGCATTTTCCAGATATTATGAGAAATTTTTTTCGGTACCCAGAAAATTCCGGGATGGGGGATATTTTTCCAGGTTTGAGAGATATGTTCTGTAATGGGCAATTTCTAGAACTTCCAAGAATATTTTTCCATTACCTGGAAAGTTCCAGGGATGAGGGATTTTTTCTGGTTTTGAGAGTCATCTCGTTACCCAGAAATCTCTCATTCCTGGAAGTGTTCTGCACCAATTGTTCCGGCTAATGGGGATATCACTGTTCATGCAAAATCATATAAGGAATCAAATAATTTGAAATTCATCATTACAGCTACAATCAACTAATGTTTTGATTACAAAAAACACTACAGTGGACCCTCGTTAATTCGGACTAATGGGGGAAGGGTGTCCGTTTTAGCCGATTGTCCGAATTAACCGATTTAGGGGTTAATATTGCATTATATTTCAAAGTCATTGTTTTCGTCACAATTTTATCCCACTTTCCACTGTAATACGTACGTAATTTCAGCAAAAATATTACATTTCCGTGAATGTATTATATCAAGCACAGTATGAATAGAATATCATTGTAATATAACAGTATTTTAACCGAAAACTAGTAAAAAAAAACAATAACATCTCAAGAACATCAAAAGCTCAGGTAAAGTCTTTTGTTTTCGTCATGTATTTTATCCTATTTTACATTGAAATACATCACGTTTCAGCAAAACTACTATTTATTTCCGAGAATATATTCATTCAGGCGCAGTTTAGGTAAAATATACGTGTGATGTAATAGTTTTTTAACTGAAAACGATTCGAAAAACACGTATCCTCTAGCCCTGTTCAAGGAGAGGACTGGGAGAAGCTGTTTGGTGCTGCAGACGATGACAAGGAAAATGATTTAGATGGATTTTAATGAAAATATTCCGAAATATGGTATCGTAGTATTTATTCAAGTCAATTAGGATAGAATATTATTGTAATACAACAGTTTTTTAACTGAAAACCAATCGAAAAGCGATTACGGTAACATCTTTTGAACGAAAGAAAACGAAAGTCATTGTTTTCGTCACGATTTTATCCCACTTTCCACTGTAATACGTACGTCATTTCAGCAAAAATATTACATTTCCGGGAATGCATTATATCAAGCACAGTATGAATAGAATGCCATTGTAATATAACAGTATTTTAACGAAAAACTATTAAAAAAACGAGTAACTTCTCTTGAACATCGGAAGGTTAGGTAAAATCTTTTGTTTTCGTCATGCGTTTTATCCTATTTTACATTAAAATACATCACGTTTCAGCAAAACTACTATCTATTTCCGAGAATATATTCATTCAGACGCAGTTTAGGTAAAATATACGTGTGATGTAACAGTTTTTTAACTGAAAACGAGTCGCAAAACATGTGTACCATCTAGCTGATTGATACTCAACAGCTGGTGGTGCGTCATGCGTCGTTGTAAACAATAGGAGGTTGAAGTAGATTACCGGGTATTACATTAAGTGTGAAATATCGAAAAGGCTTTTATTACCGGTATTTTTTGTAGATCAATGAGAACTGTGATACCGTATATGATATGATAAGTTAGCCTATGCTAAGAACTTCAACATAGACTACTGAAAACACGTTGTAAGGTAATTTAGCCTATTGTAAGTTGGTGAGTTTCATTTACTGAAGGAACTTCACAACTTTTCATTACTAATTGGTACATATTTTACATTTCCATTGTTTACTGGCAGTAAATGGTAAATATTTTTCATGTCTGAAGCTAAAAGTTGCATCCCCCCCCCCCACACTAGTGGTGGAGATGTTACATTTAACCAAAAAGACGCTGGTGTTTTATCCCAGCAATGGGTGGACCAGCATTTTAGCTTAAGGTCCGAGTAGGTAATATTCCTATTAAAAAAAAAAAAAAAAAAAAAAGTTAGTTCAGATTTTGTCCGAATTATCCAAAATCCGGATTAAAGGGGTACGAATTAACGAGGGTCAACTGTATTTCCTAAAATGAATTTTACATAATAAAAGGTGTGAGAACCTCTGCTTTCCTAAGGTACAGGTTGGACCCATATAATCCGGGACCGGATAGTCCGGCAGCTTTGATGGTTCGGGACAGTGTTTGAATCTGGCTGTCGTTAGTTTCCAAAACTGCTAATCTATTTATTTCTGTGTCACAGTACAATAAACTTGTGCCATATCATTAACAGTCATAAAAAGGCCCAGTAAGCCTGGGCTAGATTTATGCTGATGTAAGTTGCATTCCTGCTAGTAATAGTACATTTTATACATTATTTTGCCTTTTTTTTTTTTAACCTCAGCTTCGAAGGTTCAGAAATTTCGCTAATCTGGAACTGGGTTGGTCCCAAGCTTTCTGGATTAGCGAGGTCCAACCTGAACCAACAGGGCAGATCAAGGCATAGGTGGACTAGGCAGCCCATAAGGGGTCTCCCGATGCCCCCTTTAGGAATTTGGTTCAAAATCTTTGAAGCTGGCTGAGTGAATTTTTCAAGTAATCTACCGAGTTAGGAACCCTTTTAATGAAAAGCTGAATCTTAAAAAGCATTACAATACATTAATTATAACTGCTTTTTTTTTTTTTTTCTACATACAATAACATAATTAATTCTTGTTTTGCTCTTATAGTTTATTTCCTGACATATTCCCTATACTACGCACTATCACACTTCAGTCCATCACATATTACGACACCACCGTCACCACGTCGGACACTGGGACACCTCCAACTCCCTGGGCCCATCCATCGAAAATAATAGTCTGACAAACAGACACACAAGCTTAAGGCTGAATTACCTCCCATGCTGAAAAGCAGACAGCATCATCCTCATCCCCTGACAAGGACTACTTTACAGTCCACCGGCTCCACCCCATGTAAAGGACCCCCATGGACAGCTATGCCTACCCTAGGTAAGTAAAGGAGAGGCTTAAATTATAAATGCAAAGAAAAACTGAAAAGGTAATTGAAGAGAAATTTTACAAAAAAATAATCAGGACAGAAGTAGGGATTTTAGGATAACTAAGGATTTAGAGAAGAAATTATAATAGGAAGAAAAATTATTATTCATTGTGGATAGAACTCAGTTGGTAACTTGGTCAGTGCACATAATTGAGTAATTAATGTAATTAATAACCACATTTAAACTTTTATCATTCACCCACGCCCACCAAACTCTAGCCTAGCAACTTAAACCTTTATCATTCACCCACACCCACCAAACTCTAGCCTAGCAACTTAAACCTTTATCATTCATCCACGCCCACACCCACCAAACTCTAGCCTAGCAACATAAACCTTTATCATTCACCCACACCCACCAAACTCTAGCCTAGCAACATAAACCTTTATCATTCACCCACACCCACCAAACTCTAGCCTAGCAACTTAAACCTTTATCATTCACCCACACCCACCAAACTCTAGCCTAGCAGCTTAAACCTTTATCATTCACCCATGCCCACACCACCAAACTGTAGCCTAGCAGCTTAAACCTTTATCATTCACCCATGCCCACACCCACCAAACTCTAGCCTAGCAACTTAAACCTTTATCATTCACCCACACCCACCAAATTCTAGTCTAGCAACTTAAAGCTTTATCATTCACCCACCAAACTCTAGCCTAGCAACTTAAACCTATATCATTCACCCACAGCCACCAAACTCTAGCCTAGTAACTTAAACCTATATCATTAACCCACACCCACCAAGCTCTAGCCTAGCAACTTAAACCTTCATCATTCACCCACACCCACCAAACTCTGGCCTAACCAAATTAAGCCTTTATCATTCACCCGCCCTGTAAAACTCTAGCCCTAGCAAATTAAGCCTTTGTATCATTCACCCAGGCCCCACACCCACCAAACTCTAGCCTAGCAAATTAAACCTTTATCATTCACCCGCCCACACCAACCAAACTCTAGACTAGAAACTTAAACCTTTATCATTCACTGCAGCATACCCACCAAACTCTAGCCAAGCAACAAGCCTTTATCATTCTTACCCACCAAACTCTAGACTAGAAGCAAACCTTTATCATTCACCGCCCACACCACCAAACTCTAGCCAAGCAACAAACCTTTATCATTCACTCACACCCACCAAACTCTATTGACAACCAAACCTTTATCCATTAACCGCCCACACCCACCAAGCTCTAGCCAAGCAACTTAAACCTTTATCATTTTACTCACACCACCAAACTCTAGCATAACAACTTAAACCTTTATCATTCTTACGCCCTTTTTTACCAAACTCTAGCCCTAGCAAATTAAACCTTTATCATTCACCCCACCCACCAAACTCTAGCCTAGCAACCAAACCTTTATCATTCACCCACACCCACCAAATTCTAGCCCTAGCAACTTAAACCTTTGTCATTCACCGCCCACACCCACCAAACTGTAGCCTGCTTAACTTAAGCCTTTATCATTCACCCCATGCCCACACACCCACAAACTCTAGCCCCTGTAACCCAAGCCTTTATCATTCACCCACACCCACCAAACTCTAGCCTAAGAACTTAATCCTTTATCATTCCACCCATGCCCCACCACCAAACTCT